AAATGATCGATATATGTTAGAAAACAAAAGAGTTATTAATTTTTTAAAGAAATTTTTCTAAGTAAATATATAGGCGTCAATATATAAGTTTTGTGATAAATTCCAATAATATCTATCCGAAACAGTATATAATGGCTACTGGTGTAACAATAGAACGCTTAGGTACAAGTTCAAAGTCAATTTTAGCTAGAAAACTTTAGGGTTAGGTTAGGTTAGGTTAGGTTTTTTTTTTTTTTTTTTTTTTTTTTTTTTTTTTTTTTTTAAATCTAAACCTCTCACGAGACATGAGAGACTGTCTTTGACTATTGTTTTTGAATTTCTTAATTTTATACTGTAATACTTATTCTAATAACTTAGGGGAAACAGAAAGTGACTTTTCATGTAATACAATTGCTCTTAGAGTCTAACTTATTCTAACATACATTTCTTGCATCTATTATTTACAAGAGGCATCAACTAACTAGTTATATAAGTGGGCAGATTAAGACTTATTACCAAGTTACTATATTACAAAACAAATTGCCATATGTAAAAAAAAAAAGTTTTACATATATTGCAATCGGATTCTTATAGCTATCTTAAATTTATGTTCCTTAAATTTTTATTATAATTTCTTATGTTAGCTTAAATATATACACTATAATTAACTAACATATATTTACTCACACTTTATTCCTATTATTTACTATTATACATAACTTTTTACAGAACTGTAGGAACACATCTCTGTTCTTTCCACATACAATTTTCGAAAGGGAATTTAAGTCCAATTTAGCATCTAACAGCAACTCCACCTTCTGCCTCTCGTAAATGTGGGCCGGGCAGTCCAAAAGGACGTGGAGGACAGACTCAGAACACTCAGGATCGCAGATGCACGATGGACTCTCCTTGCACTTGAAGCGGTGCAAGTACTCGGAGAATCCGCCGTGCCCCGCCAAAACCTGGGTGACAAATCTGTCCACCTTTATTTTAGCGATGATACGGTACGCGGCTATCGCGTCAGGGAAGAAGACCCTGGTGACACCAGCCGTTTCACCGGCCTGGTATCGTTGGTTCCATTCATCAAGCGATCGCATACGAATGCTTCGCCTGATGAACGAAACCGGGCAGCTGTCGTAGTCGAATGCGCGTTTCGACTTTAGCGCAGCCTCCTTGGCCAGATAGTCGGCACGTTCGTTCCCCTCTAGACCTGCGTGGGCTTTGATCCAGAACAAACTTACATGCTTGTCCTGTACCAAAGCCCTCCGCAGATGGCCCCGCGCCTCGACGGCCAGGGGATGAAGGGCCTCTGGGTTGGTTATTGTCTGCAGTGCCGACAAGGAGTCTGAGTATATTCCAACTGATCTGGCCAAGTTTTCCGCGGCCACCCGCGCCGCCCTGCATATCGCCAGGAGTTCCGCCTGGTAGACCGTGCAAAATGATGGCAAAGCAAGTTTGAGGGCTTTGGTTACAGCGGCGCCAGTCCATATGGATAATGCCGCACCCACCTTGCCCTCAATCTTGCTGCCATCCGTGTAGATATTAATATCGTGGTCAATGTTGGCCATTAGTTGTTCCTGGTCCACCAAACACTTGAAGTCGAGGTCGATACGCAGAGCCGGGTGCGGGGACCGCAGAGCCGAGGACATCCGCTCCACCTCCCGGTCCCCCATCCCAGGCTGGAGCACCCCCCTCCTCGCGCCATACAGCGCCGCGGCTTCGCGGACGCGCAGGTCGAGAGGGAGCATCCCAGCCAGCAAGAGCGCTGAGTTCAGGGAGGTAGTGCGGTATGCTCTGCACAGCTTCTGCGCAAAGCCGCGCTGGACGACGTTCAGCTGCTTACGAACCCCAAGCTTATCCACGGCCGGTGCCCAAACGGCAGCCGCGTACAGTATCACGGGCTCAACCACCGCTCTGTAGATGGCGCGGATTACTTCGGGGTGGAGGCCCCAGCTCGCCTTCGCGGCCCTCGAAAGCTGGGCGTAGAAGGCTAGTGCCTTCTTACAAATACTCGCGACGTGCGTGTTGAAGGTAAGGCGCTGGTCTAAGACGACTCCCAGTAATTTGACTTCTGCGACCATGCCAATGTCGACCCCGCCCATGCGAAGGCGTGGGGTGTCATGCTTCAGTTTGCGCGTGATGACCATGGCACTTGTCTTGTGCGGCGCGAACCTCAGCTTATTAAGGACTCCCCACTCCCTCACACACTCGAGGGCGGCATTAGCACGGTGTTCGACCTCGTGAGCCGTCTCACCCTCGAAAACCAGCACCACATCGTCAGCGAATGCCTGCACGTAATAATGTCTAGCCTCCAGCTCCCGAAGTAGTGGATCCAGTAAGAGGTTCCACAGTATCGGCCCACCGATAGACCCCTGCACGCAACCCTTCCCGGTTTCCCTCACGTGCTCCTCCCCGCAGTATTTAGCTCTCACATGCCTGCCGCTCAGGTAGCTACCCAAGAGCCTCCGGATGTTGATCGGCACTCGTTCCTCCACCAGCCTGACCTTTATGCGAGGCCACCAAGCGTTGTCGAAGGCGCCCTCTATATCTAGGGACACAAGTGTCAACAATTTTTTATTTTTAAGTCCGGTTCTTATGTGCTGAACCAGGGTATAGAGGGCGTCCTCGGTACTCCGCTGAGGCATGAAGCCAAACTGTCGGGTACTGAGCCTGGGCGCAATATGGTGCTTGAGCCTGGCGACAAGCATCTTCTCCAGCACCTTCCCCAGCACTGGGAGGAGACCTATCGGTCGATACGACCGTGGGGTCGTATAGGTGTTCTTTCCCGGCTTTCGGAGGAAGATCACCGTTGCCTCCTTCCAGGGCCCGGGAAAATGCCGGAGTTCGAGGCACCTGTTGAAAAGAGCCAATGACAGCTCGGGGTCAAACTCCACGGCGTGCAAGCATATATCGGCGGTGAAACCGTCCGCGCCAGGGGCCTTTTTCGGATTGAAGGACCGGCAGGCCAACTTCAACTCCAAAGGAGTGAAAGGCGGGTCCGACACATCCGAAGAGGTTTCAATGCCAAAGAGCTCGGCCTGTACCCTCACCTTTCGGTGCTCTTCGGAGTCATCCTCCTCAGAGTCCTCCGGGTAGAAGGTTTCGGCCATAAGCCTCGCCGAGCCCCTGGCGTCCAGCTCTATGTTGTTCACTACCAGCGGTTGATCCTCGTCTCTCTTGGACGTTCTATTGATGACCCTGTATATGCCTCCCCAAACAGATTCCCCGTCTTGGCGCTCACAGAAGGCGACCCAGCTGCGCGTCTGCGCGTGCTTCACCTCGGTCTCATATCGTTCCTTCACCTCGAGGTACTCCCCAACCACCCTCTGACGCCTAACCGGCGCTGCACACCGGATCCTGCTTTTCTTGGTGGCCACCTCGCGCTTGAGCACCGCCAACCCCTCGCTCCACCACGGCACAGCCACCACGTCCCTCCGCTTTACAGGCGGTATGGACAAAGCGCACGCTTCCGCTATGATTTTATTAAATTTTGAAATTGTTCGGTCCAAATCTGAGTCAGTAAGTAAATTTTTTATATGGTCAATTGTAAGATTTTCTCTGTTTAAAATTTGACCCAGTTTCTCACGAAACTGGACCCAATTCGCCTTTTTCGTAAAATAGACTCTTGTGGTCTGCCTAATATGGTTTTTGTTTATGTGCCTTGTCCGTAGCGTGAAGGATATGCCATTATGGTCCGAGTTGGTCAGGTCTTCGCGCACGCGCCAGTCGTCCACCAAGCCAAACAGATCCGACGATACAGCAGTTATGTCAACATAACTGCTGTACCTTACGCCGCCCCGAATGGCGTCGAAGGTGGGAGTTTCCCCCCGGTTCAGGAGGCAGAGTCCGAGGTCCTCCAGTGCACCTCGCAGTTCTTCGCCTCGGCGATCCGTCACGGGACTCCCCCACCAGGCGCATTTGGCATTGGAGTCACCCCCAATTATAACACTCCGAGCTCCTGTCTCGCACTGCACCCGGCGCAGGTGTGCTAGGTACGAGTCCATTGGCACGTCGGGCTCGAAGTAGAACGAGACCAGGATGATCTCCCAGTTGCGGACACGGATTCCCACCACTGCGATGTTGGTCGTGGTGAGTTTTGAGTATTGTGTGATGTGAAGGTCCGCGTCGAAAACTATGATCGCGGCCTTCACAGTCCCACTTCCATGGTCCGCACACTGGAAGACTCTGGTCCCACTCTGATCCCTCACCCGTCCCACCCCTCCAACGTATGGCTCTTGCACCAGAGCTACCCGCGCACCCAGGTTAGAGGCTTCGATCAGCAGCTCGGAGTGTGCCAACTTACTGCGCTGGAGGTTCGCCTGCAGGATTTCGAGGGCCTCTGCATTCACCGGCACAACCTTAGCAATACGCTACGGATGAGCGGGCGAGGTCATCCCACCGTTTCCTGACGGGACAGTCGTCGCTAAAGGCGTTATGTTCGACATGGTCGAACTTCGCCCGACGACAGTTCCGGCAGGACGGTGGGGACCCCGCCATCCAATCCGCGCATTTCGATCGCAGGTGCGGCCCGCCGCAGTGACTGCAAAGGTCCTCAGGGTCCTTACAGTACTTTCGACCATGGCCGTATCCGAGACATCGCGTGCATTGGACCAGTGGCGACTGGTCCTCTGCTCGCACCCTCTGAAGGTCAACATGGACCGAGCCCACGCCGGTTATTCTCGCCCAGAGGGTGGGCGACGCACTCAGGACGATGTGGGCCGTGTGCGGGTTCCTTGTTCTCCTGCGATATTTAATTTCAAGGCGATCATCTCCGAGGCCGAGGCCGTTAAAGAGGTCCCGATTCTGGTTTCTTAGGGCCTTGATTATCTCATCGTCGGTATTGACGGTTAAAACACCTCTGAGGATCAGTAGCGGGTCCCTGTTCTTAACGTCCTCGACCAAGAGGCCCGTTCCTTCCTTCGCCAGTCTTTCCTTCACTTTCTGTCTGTCTTCGACAGTCCCGAAACCCATAATGACCTTTCGGTCTTTGGCCTTCCGGACCCGGTCCACTTTAACCCAACCCTCCTTAGCATCAATGGTCCGTCTAACTCTTCCAAGGACCTCCTCTCCCGTCTCCATGTCGTCCTTGGAGGTGACGACCACCGAGTGTAAGGCCGTTTGCCTCGAAGGCCGCTGCGGCCCCGCGGCAGCCACACTGGCGTAGCTGCGCTGCTGTTCCTCGGCCACCCGACTGAGCTGCTCCTGGAGAGCCTTCATCCTCTCGTTGCTCTCCAGAAGGAGCCGAGAGTGCTCGTCGAGCCTAGCGCTCATTCCGGAGTCCGAGGGCCCCGCAACCGCGGCGTCAGTGTCTATGGTCACCGGCGCCGCCCCCACGGAGCCCCCGTTCCCCTTCTGAGCCCGGTCGGCCTCGCGTTCAGCCTCGGAGTCGGCCACTAACTTTTTAAGTTTATTAAGGACGTCCAGGAACGTTTCCTTAATCTCGCCCTTTAGGTTCTTGGATTCGTTTAGGGCGTTTTTCGCCCTAGTCACCTGCGCGGCCGCCTCCTTCACCCTGTTCTTTTTGGTGGTTGACACGGATGTGTGTACCCGCACTTCCCCCCCCTCCTCAGGACTGTCCGTCAGTTTGCGATTTGTGTGCGGTTTTGGTTTAGAGGTGGTCGGGGCGCTCTGTACCTTCGTAGATAGATTAGAGGTATTCTCCGAAGCTGCCCCCTCCCGCTTCTCCAAACTACGTCTTGGCAATTTTTTAACCTCTTTACGGGGGGTAGAGGGTGGGTTCGTCATCTCCTGATGTTTTACGGGTGTCCGGATGCCAAGCATCTTCGTGGAGGTCGCGTTAACAGTTTAAAATAGCAAAATGCCAAAACTAAATGTAAATAAAAAATGTCGACTTAATTAAAATGCCGCAATAGCGGTTTGTATATAGTAGAGCAGAGCCTGCTCCTATCAGATATAGGTGCTGTAGAATAACTATAGCACTTGAAACTACCTAAGACTACCTTAAAACTACTTAACACTAATTAAATCTCCCTCCACAGCCTATTTATAGGGAGACTCTACAACGACTTCTAGATAGAGTCGCCGGTCTGACACCAAATGATAGTCCTTACTTAATTGAAATCTAAAGAAAAAATAAAAGAAAATAAAAGAAAATAAAATAAAAATAAAATGTTCAAGAAAAACAACAAAATGTTTTGCTCCCCTGCTCAAAATTTACCTCCCTAGAAGAACCCGGGTGGGTGGGCGGGCAATTTTTTAATTTTCTATCTGTCGGATTTGAACAAACGAGGTGTCGGGTGATAGGGCTAGACGAGCCCTATCCGAATATGTAATAATTTGGAAAAACAAATGAGGGGTTGCCAAATTATAAGCCGAAAACGTGTAAATTTAACAAAATTTTACACCGAAAACTATCTTTCACAGGTGATAGGTCTCCGACGGGACGCCGGAGGTGCTTCAGGCGGTGGTGGTATGCAGGGGAGGTGTCAACGCAGCGATGGTGTAAGCTTCCAGCACCAAAACGACCAGGAACACAGGTAGGTATACTTTTAAAAGTATGTTTTTGTAGCTTTTGTTACAGAATTACAACGAAAATTGAAAAATTTAGAAAATCTACACAGCGAAACCCCGGAAAAGAGGTGTCCGCGTATAGGCGACGCCGTTGCCGAATTTTAGAAACCAAAACTGATCGATATATGTTAGAAAACAAAAGAGTTATTAATTTTTTGAATGAAATTTTTCTAAGTAAATATATAGGCGTCAATATATAAGTTTTGTGATAAATTCCAATAATATCTATCCGAAACAGTATATAATGGCTACTGGTGTAACAATAGAACGCTTAGGTACAAGTTCAAAGTCAATTTTAGCTAGAAAACTTTAGGTGGTTAGGTTAGGTTAGGTTAGGTTTTTTTTTTTTTTTTTTTTTTTTTTTTTTTACGTGGTGGAATGCATTTACGCACTTCGCTCCCCCCCCGCGGGGGCAGGGGGTTCGCTTCGTGTGGGACTCCTGACGGGCCAGACTACCCACTAAACCACCACGGTGTTCCTCCTTCGCCTAATCCGAGCCACGGGCTAGTTTGCTCACCGCGACTCGGCTAGGGACGCCCTGTTGAACGGGCTCGCCTCTCGAGGCCCCACCATCCGGGCAAATACCGTGCCCGGATGGTGGGGCCTGTCCTCCACATGAATGCACCCCAGGAACACAGAGGGGCGCATTCCGCCACATTAGTATGGGGCGGCAGGTCCCCCGACCCACCGCCCGTGGCCACTCTCATTCGGGGACGCGGGCGAATCGTGTTCGCCGGCGTCCCCTCGCCGGGGGTCTGCGGGGCGGGAGTGTGAGACCAGCTCGCTCCCGCTCCCGCAGAGCCTCTCTCTTGGCCGCCATCACCTCGCTAGCGAACGAGGCGACGGCAGCCCAACACTGTTCGCTGTCGGCCATAGCTGGAATTACGGCCGACAGCGACAGGTCCGCACCAACGGTGCTCGTGAGGGCCGTCCTTTGTTCGTCCCACGCCTCACACACGGCCATGGTGTGATAGGCCGTGTCAGGGTCGCCGCTGGTGCAGTTGCGGCACCGGGGCTCCGACTCCACCCCGACCACCTCCCACAGGTACTTGGCAAAACAGCCATGACCCGTGAGGAGTTGGGTGAGGTGGTATGTCGGAGCCCCATGACCCCTCTCCACCCACTGACGCAGGACGGGCCGAACGGCCCCCACGAGCACCGACCCGCTACGGGTCGCCTCTAACCTCTACGGCCCATTTCCGGAAGAGATCATCGCGAGCCGACTGTCTCCAGCGATCGATCTCCTCCGGAAGCGGCCGACCTCCAAGTACACGCCGCATCAGGGCGCCCTCGACGTACACTCGCTTGAGGACGCCGGCCTCGAGATCCCAGGGGATACTGCCCGCGATCAGACACGCCGCCTCGTAGGAGACGGTGTGGTACGCCCGTGCAGCCCGCTGCGCGATGGCGCGCTGCGGACGCCGCAGCAGCGCGATGTTCGCCGGGCTGAGGGCTTCCGCCCATATGGGCGCTCCGTAGAGCGCCTTGGAGCGCACCACTCCGTCATAGAGACGGCGGCAGGCAGACCCCGGTCCTCCGCTGTTGGGCAGCAGACGCGAGAGCATTCCGGCAAATGCCAGCAGCTTCGGTGCCAATTGCCGGAAATGCTCCTCGAACCGCCACCGACTGTCGAGAACGAGCCCGAGATATTTCAGGCTGTTCCCGACAGCGATGGGGATGCCGCCCACCACGATCGACCTATCTCGAGGCGGCGTCTGCCGAGGCCCGTGGAAGAAGACGGCCTCAGACTTCTCCAGGGCGACCGTTAAGCCGAGCGCCCCGATGCGACGCACTACATGAGCGACGCCTGCCGTGGCGAGTACGGCGGCGTCGCGGAATGTTGGGGCCCGCGCGGTGACTAGGGTATCGTCGGCGTAACAGAGTACGCCGACTCCCCGAAGATTAGCACCGCGCAGGACCCAATCATAGCCTACGTTCCACAGGAGCGGCCCAAGGACCGACCCCTGTGGAACGCCACAAGACATGTCCCTGCGGACCACCCCACCTTGGGCCGGGTAGATGATGGCCCGGTCCACGAAGTAGTCCGCAAGGACGCGCCTGAGGTACCACGGGACATTGTGGTACCTCAGCGCCTCCGCAATGGTCTCCCAGGGGAGGGTGTTGAAGGCGTTGGCTATATCCAGCGACACAGCCAACACCACCTCACCCCCAGAGACCGCTTCGTCGACGCTGTCCCGCAGTCGGGATACTGCGTCGATCGTCGACCTCCCGCGACGGAAGCCGAACTGGCCATCGCTCAGGTTGGGCCCCGCCCCCTCCAGGTGGCCGACGAGACGTGCAGCGAGCACTCGCTCGAAAAGCTTGCACATCTCGTCGAGCAGAACGATGGGGCGGTAGGCCGACGGCGACTCGGCTGGTCGCCCGTGCTTCTTAAGAAGCACGAGCTTGCCGGTCTTCCATCGTCGCGGGACTCTCCCCGACGCCAGGCACTCCGACATGAGGGACAGCGTCTCCTCCTCTAGTGCGGGCATGACGGTGGCAATAACCTTCCCAGGTACGCCGTCCGGGCCCGGGGCGCGATTCCTGGACCGGAGTGCCAGTATCGCGGCCCCTAACTCGGCGTCGTCCACGGGAGGTATTGCCCCTTCGTCTGCCGGCACCTGGCTTGATGGTGCTGCCATCCGCGGCGGGACCCACTCTTCCCTCGCAGGGAAGAGGGATCTGACCACTCGGTCCAGAAAGCGCGGCTCGAGAGTTCTGGTGAGGGGAGGCGCCCAAGGCCGGAGTTTCTGACTCACAGTCTTGTACGGGCGCCCCCACGGATCTCGATCCAGGCTCTCGAGCCACTCTTTCCAGGCCTCGTCTTTGGCGGCTTTGATCGCCGAGCTGAGGGCCTCACGGGCAGCCCGGTACGCGGCATGCAGTTCTTCTTCGCGGGCGAGGTCTCTGACGGCTCGCCTTCGGCTGCGGGTGTACTGCCTCTGGGCCGCGTAACTTGCGGTACGCAGCCCGGCTAGGTGGGGACGCCACCAGTACACCTGCTTCCGAGGCGGGATAGGTCTCGCCCGCTGCATCGCCGCGTCGCAGACGCGAGTCAGCGCTCCAGCGAGTCGCTCGCATCTCGCGTCCACGTCCTGGCCGCTTTCGACGGCAGCCCATCGCTCGACGATAGCCGCCTCTCGGGCTAGCTCTCGGTCCAACGTTCCGAGCCGCCACCGCGGACCTTCCCCTACCACGGGGCGGTCCAGTGCCACACGAGTAGCCGAGGCAGCAGGGACGACGTCGAATCGGATGTACCGATGGTCCGACGAAGTCTCCACCCCCTCGACCACCCGCCAGTTGTGTATGTGAGGGGCCAGGCCGGAACTCGCGAAAGAAAGATCGACTATGGATCCGGCCTGGGCCCTCACAAACGTGTGGACCGACCCTCGGTTCAGCAGCACCAAGCCTTGGGACACCGCCCACTCCTCCACCATTTCCCCTCGGCTATCGGTCGCCGGGGATCCCCACGCCCGTGAGTGAGCGTTGAAATCCCCGGCCACCACAGCCGGGGTGGGGTGCACTTCCGCCACCAGAGCCCCGACCTCCGTGAGCAACTGCTCGAACTCGGCGAGGCTTCTGCTAGGCGGACAGTACACCCCAACTACTGCAGCGCCGCCCAACGCGACGAGTACGCATCCTCGGCCCCTCCGCACTCTGTCGAAGGGAGGAGCCGTTCGCTGGGCGACGATAGCCACCGAGCCGTCGTGGTCGCTGGCCCAATTGGGGCCGTCGCGAACGTAGTACGGCTCGGCGACTACTGCCACTGTCGTCTGCCACTGCGCCATGGATTGGGCCAGAAGGTCCTGAGCCGTGACGCAGTGGTTGACGTTGGCCTGCAGTATGGAGATTTGAGCCATTAAGATTGGGCGGTGTCCATTACCTCCTCATTTTGCGGCAGGGTGGGCGATTGTGTGGGTTTCGCCCCCCCTGCAGCTCTCTTGCGGCCCCTGTTGCGGGAGGCCGCCTTGCAGTCGGCCGTCCCAAGCCGGTGGCCGGACGCTGCACCCTCCGCCGAACAGACGGGGCAGCTGGGCTCCGCTGAGCAGGTGGCCGACTTGTGGCCGGCCTGCCCGCACCGGAAGCAGAGCGCACTGCGGTCTGTGGCCACAGTGCACCTGGCCCCGACGTGCCCCGGCTCGAGGCAGCGGAAGCACCGCACCGGCCTGGGCTCCAGGGTGGTCAGCTTGACCACTGACCACCCGACGACGATGCGGCGACCATCGGTCAGCTTTCTGGCCGCCTCAACA